AATTGGATAAAGCTGATCACTGGGGGTGTCTTAGTTACTTTTTTCTCATTGCTGAGACAAAATACCTGACAATCAAAGTTAAAAGAGAAGAGATTTATTTAGCTTACAGTTTGTGGAGGTGTTAGTCCATAATCTCAAGGCAGTTCATAAGCAACATGGCAGAGGGGTAACAGTTCATGGTGGGTAGAAGAGAGCAAAATCAACAAGCAAAGGAGAGAAGGGAAAATATTGTCTCATATGCAGGCTACTCTCCCTAGGGTGAGTGTAGCACTTACACCCTTAAGCCCATCATTGGCCCATGAATCAATCACAAACTCTTCATGCAGCTACCTCCAGAAAAGCCCCATCTAAAAGTTCATGAGGCTTTGAGGGCACATCTAGACATAAACCATAACATTCTTCCCCTGGCCCCCCAAAAGAATTTAGTCTATCTCTAAGAGTTGCCAAAATCCTAACAGTTTCAGCATTGCTGAAAAGTACAAGTCCCAAGTCTCTGCTGAGATTTAAAGCAAACTCTTAGCAGTGAGCCCCTGTACAAATGAAAAGAAAATAGAACACTTCCAACATTCAGTGGCACAAGATAGACATTTCCATTCCAAAAGTTACAAACAGGGATACAAAGGAATGGCACCAAATCGAGTCCAAAATCTAGCAGGGCAAACATTAAGTCCTGTAGTTCCATGTGCAGCACCTAAGGCATCGTGTGGCAAGATGTGAACTCCAAAGGGCTTGGGTGGATCCTCCCCAAAGGCACTTCCAGTGGTGGCAGTTGTAGCTCCCATGGCTTCTCTCTTGGGCCCTCCTTGTCATTCCCCTTAGCAGATCCATGTTTCCAGCTTCTCCAAGCTTCTGGAGTCTCCACTACACATTTGGCTTCACACTCACAGCTTCATATACTGTCCTCTCGGGGCACACTGCCTGGTCTCCCAGGCCTTTTTCTGAAATCCACGTGGAAGCTGTCCTGACCCCACAACTCTTATATTCTGCATGTGCCTAAAACCAGCACTATGTGGATGATGCCAAGATCTGCTGCTAGCTGGAGCAGTAGCCAGCTACTGTAGGGGACGAGTGCCTGGATCACTGAGTACTCTGAATCCAATACTGAGAAACAAATTCTGTAGGCTGCCACCATTCTGCAACATAGTGCAGCCAAGGCCATTCTGGAACATGGTGCTCTGGGGCTTCTTCTCAAAGCAGTCATTCACTTTTGCAATTCTGAGGCTGCAAAGGATGGAGTCCTGATGCTTCTTGTGATGCCCTCAGACCATCTTTTCTATTCTGTTCCTTCTCAGCAATCAAAATCTCCTCTGCTCTATCTTTGCAGCCCATAGTTTTACTGGAGATTCCTTTCTGGCCAAACTCACAATGTTTTAAATCATTCTGCTGGGCTCTTTGCTCTTGATTCTTGACATAAATCTAGCTAAAAGCCCTCATCTCAATATTAGACTGCCTTGAAATTTTTTCTGCCAGATTAATTAGTCTGCCGCCTTTAATCGCAGTCTTGGACAATGTCTTTGGACACAAGCAAAATCCAGACAAACTTTCTGACAAGACATAATAATACACATCATCTAGAGTCTAGCAGCTAATGCAGTCCTTCTTCCTAGCATAAACCTCTCAAGCCTAATCTTTAATGGCAGGATTTCTATCAGCTTGTTGATCTTCTGTACTCTGACCAGAATCTCCCATACAGTACATCTTAAGGCATTCCAGCTCTACTGTTTCAGCCAGCATCTCTGAACCTTTCTTAATTCTTTCCCTTCCAACAAGCCACTTCCAAAGACTGTTGAACCACATGGTCAGATAATGTCACAGCAACAACCCCACTCTTGGCACTAAATTCTGTCTTAGTTACTTTTCTCTTGAGCTGAGACAAAATACCTGACAATCAAAGTTAAAGGAGGAAATGTTTACTTAGCTCACAGTTTGTAGAGGTTTCAGTCCATAATCTCTTAGCTCCAAGGCAGTCCATAATGGACATAGCAGAAGGGAAAGAGTTCATGGTGGGTGGAAGATAGCAAAATGAACAAGCAAGGAAGGGAAGGAACAAAACTCTTTCTGTCCCTTATATGCAGGCTACCTGCCCTAGGGTGGGTGTAGCAGTCACATCCTTAATCCCAGCTCTGGCCCATGAATCAGTCACAAACTCTACATTTAGCTACCTCCAGAAAAACCCCATCTAAAAAGTGAATGAGGCTTTGGGGGGACATCTAGACACAAACCATAACAGGTGGATGTATTTTTGAGGGGTGTTTGTCCCCAGCCCCTTCCTCTCTGGCTTCCTTTCCTCTCTCTCTGCTTCCTGGCTATCAAGTATGAGCAGCTTTCCTTTGCCATAGCCACAGACCTAAAAACAATGGAGAAGCAAACCATGGACTGAAACTGTGCCAGTTTTCTTAGGTATTTTGTCACAGTGACGAAAGTCTGACTACTACACTTATACCATATTTGTAAGCAGACTAGCACTTCTTAGATCCAAATTTACCTGTGCCATAGTGCAGGTTGATGTTACTTTATGTCTCTGGATGGAGCCAAATTGTACTGCTTAAAAATGAAATTCAGGCTTTCCTTTCATACTATTGCAATGAAATTTTACTCTTTACTTGGTACCCTTCTCTAAAACTTAAATATGCCAACTGCCTGTCACATGCATGATTCCTATAAATATTGGTAAATGAATGAATGCATCAACCAATCACTTTGTCCAAGCCAAAGTTGTTTTATCCAGCAACAAGATGGCCAAGTTCTGTGAAAGAGACTCAGTTACTTCACATGGTCTGAAGAGTGGCCCTCCTTGATCCTTCTTTCCAGCTTTGCCTTACTTTGCTCATCCCCATTTTTACAGGCTTTGTCCAAGTCCCCGTCATTGCTCACCTTGACGTTGCTGTAGCTTCTAACTCACATCTCTTCTGGCCCTTTGCACTTCTCCAAAAGACTGCTAGAGGGAGCTTTTGAGAAGCAGATGGGATCCAGCCACAGACTGGGTTAAACCTGCTTTAGTCAGTTTCCCACAAGCCCTGCAGGATTTCAGTTTACCTCTTTCGTCCCACCACTCCCTAATCTATACTCCAATCACTGTGTCTGGTCTTCCTCCACTCCTTCCAGGGCCTTGTCACTTCTTCCAGGGACATTCTCTTTCTCTGTGCCCACTTCAGTCTTGTCCTGCAAATCTCTAAAGGACCTTTACATGCCATATCTAATAGCTCATTGTCTGGGAATTGGTTAGAGGAGAGCTCCCTGCTCTCTGCTCTCATGCTCCCCCATTTTCTGAGCTGTTATAATGAAATACTGCAGCCTAGCTGACTTAAATAAGAGAAATTACTTTCTTACCATTTGGAAGTCTGAGATCAATGTATTGATAGGCAGGTATGGTTTCTTCTAAGGCTTCTCTCCTTGGCTTACAGATGGTTACCTTCTTGCTGTGTCTTCAGATGGCTTTTTCTGTGTGTCCTTACATCTGTGGTTTATCTCTGTGTGTCCATATAAGGACACTAGTCAAATTGGATTAGGGCCTACTCTAATGGCCTCATTTTAACTTAATCACTTCTTTAAAGACCTTATCTCCAAATACAATCACATGCCAAGGTACTGGGGTCTAAGTTTTCAACATATACATCTTGAGGGGACATAAGTTAGCCCATAACAGGGACCATACCACTTATGCTCACCCTTGCATCCCTGTCACTCACAATAGAGCCTGGCTTGTCATAGAATTTGATACTTGATCAAATTTCAACCCCCTTTTTACTCTCCTCACCACCATATATTGAACTAGAGGCAAATAAAAGGAAGAGGCATAGACTGCTTCAGAGGATCAAAGTTACCACAGGAAATGTTTTCTATTCTGATCTTGAAATTATAGACCTTTGGAGGAATTGTGCTAGAATCTCCAAATGGGGCAAAATGGGCTCCCCTGTCAATAGCTGGCCTTTCCTGCCCTATATGTGTCTGCTGCCTCCATGGGCTGCTCTGAAAAAAGTTTTGCCATCCAACTGGCTCTCTTTAGAAGGTGAGTCACAGGCTGCTGGGGGTGTGAATCTACACAGCTCCCGGAAAGTAGTTTAGCAACAGGTTCTAGAACCTAAAAAAAGTCATGTCCTGTAACCTTATAATTCCAAGGCTAGGATTCTAATATGAGGCACCTTGTAGTAGAAGGGAGCTCAACATGAGCACATATACCAGTTTTAATTACTTTTAAAAAAATTTCTCACTATTATAATAGAATCTGGGAAAAGCCTAAAATTGGGGAGAGTAACAGAGAAAGCTTTGGGAATCTAATACATTTATATGACTGCAATTATGTAGCAATTGAAAAAAGTTTTAGTGGTGAAAAAAAAAAAAAAA